AGCAAATTACTTAACCTCTCAAGTCCTAGGTTCCTCATCTATCATGCAGTGGTACAGTCTAGTGACTTCCAGAGCTCCTGAGAATTAAAATGCAATGACTGCACATCTGACATAAAAAAGGACCTTAATAAACAGCTACTACTAACAAGTTTGCAAAACCTACATGAAAAACATAAACTGCTGATATGTTGTCCTATCAAACCAGTTTACTTACCTAAATGTGGAGCCTATAAGTAGTATCTTACATACAAAAAAATCAAGCTGGGTTCTAGTGTAGAGTAGTTATGGAGCCAGAAGAATCCCACCACCACCCAATTCTCTTCTTCTCTCAACCAAAGCGGGGCTGATACAGGAATAACTCCAAGAACAAGGTCAATATCTTAAACCCACAGAGTTCTTTTAAGATGGATATTGTACTTTTGTATTTAACTTCTCATTTAAGTCCTTCAAGAATCCTTTGGAATTTTTATTTATTTAATCCAAGTCCATTCCAAAGCAGATCTACTAGTGGGTACTATGCTTGATTTAGAGTTGAGGAAAATTGAGGACAAGAAAAGGTTAAAATGACTTGCTCAACTTCACTTACCAGCCACCCAAATCTGTAAGTTATGCAGGAATGATTGACCTTAATGTAAACCTGTATGCTTAAAATCCTCCAGCATATCTGGAAAATATTCGTCAAAGGTTAAAAATACGTATTTCTGGCTGGTGGAATTTTAAATCTTTTAAAAAATTCTATTTTTGTAATTTACTACAGTACTAGAATTAAAAAAAATAAGCACAGTTCAGTATTACAAAAACAGTAACAAATAAAGTAAAAATTAAAACAAGCCAGTCAGCACTATGATCCTATTATCCTATATAATCCTATAATACCAGCACTTTGGGAGGCCAAGGTGAGAGGATTGCCTGAGCCCTCAGGTTCGAGACCTGCCTGGGCAACTTGACGAGACCTCAGATTTGCAAAAAAAAAACCCCAAAATTAGCCGGGCATGGTGGCATATGGCTGTAGTTCCAGCTACTTGGAAGGCTGAGGTAGAAGGATCGTCTGAGTCCAGCAGGTCGAGGCTGCAGTGGCAGTGAGCATGCCACTACACTCCAGCCCGGGTGACAGTGTGAGACTCCAACTCAAAAAAGCAAACAAACAAACAAAACAAGCCAGCCAGGCATGGTGACTCACACCTATAATCCCAGCACTTTGGGAAGCTGAGGTGCCAACTTGCCACTTGAGGCCAGGAGCTTGAGACCAGCCTGGGCAGCATAGCGAGACCATATCTCTACAAAAAATTTTTTAAAATTTAGCTGGGTGTGGTTATGCACATCTGTAGGTCTAGCTGCTCAGGAGGTGATGCAGGAGAGGCACTTGAACCCAGGAGTTGGAGGCTGTAGTAAGCCATGATTGTACCACTGCACTCTAGCCTGGGTGACAGAGTGAGACCCTAACTCAAATAAACAAGTCATCCACGAACCCCAGTTTCAACGGCTCTGATTTAGTGCAGTGATTCTCAAGCAGGACAATCTTGTCTCCCAGGGGACATCTGTCAACGTCTGGAGACATTTTTGCTTGTCATAACTGGAGCGGTACTACTGGCCTCTAGTGAGTAGAAGCCAGGGATGTCCTTTTCACATCCTAAATACACAGGGGAAACCTCCCCACACGTGGACAATAATGTGATTCAAAATGTCCACCATGCCAAGGTTGAAGAACGTTGCAGAAGAGAGATAAAAAATCCAAGCTCCTAAGCATGTAAGTCCCCGAGCTCCATCTTCAACTTTACCCTCTTTCAATTTTGCCTAACATTCAACTCCACAGTCAATTCTGAACATCTTGTTAGTTCCTGGCAGGACATGAAAGAACTGGCTTGCTCCAAGCCACCCAGTGCATGCTAGAACTCAGGTCTACTTCCCCAGACTCCACTGCTGGGCTCTTCTAGGTGTACTACAGATGCCAAGAAAAAGGCCTCCTATGAAATGGACCTAACATTCTTCAGAGGTTTTCCCTTCCACTCAATAAATATCACAGACGCTTCCTATGGGAGATGCACATTGCTGGTGAGAAGGTGCAACATGAAAAACCAATAAAACAGTAGGTCAACTCTTGAGCTATCACAGTCTAATAAAGGTCACTCATACATGGCACATAGTACCATTAGCCATACATGTGCATACATTAGGCACACGTGTGTGTGCACACAGATATATTTAGAAGATAGAGAAAATTGCAACATTTGGAGAAATGATTATGGGTAAGTTAGGGATACAGAGTGTGAGGAGGTGGATCAGAAAAGGATGAAAAAAAAGGCTTTTGACTAAGATGATGTTTCTGAGGTGTAAACGTGGGATTATCTGCACTGGAAAGTGCTCCAGCAATATATATTCAGTGATAAATTATGTAAAGAATTTGATGCGAGTGGGGCAAAGCAATCAAACACTTGACATTTCCATTTTCTAGAAACCAAAAGCACTCAGGAGATGGACAGGACAGAGTATAAAGTTGCCTTCTCCAATTCCCAATTACAAACATTAAATGGGGATCTTCAGAAAAATTTCTCCAGTGGCCACTGACTCTGCCTAACATGTTAAAAATCAACTATCTTGGCTGGAAAACACAATTCCAACACTGTCAATTTCTAATATTTTATATGCACTGCAATCAATATATCCATACCCTTTGCCATCGGGCCAATAATTAGTAATATTAAAGTACAACAGTATAGAAATTGATAATTACATATCTAACAAGATTTATATATGACTATGAATTATGAAAACTGAAACAATAACTACTGTTGCTGTAAAATCCTGTACTATTTAGGGATACTCAATTTAGAGATACTTTTAAATCCTTGAGTAACATGTTAGTAGTCAATACTTGCTTATAATTATGTTTAATAATAATAACTTCAACTACCTACATGAAGTAAATTAAGTATCTGGTCATTAATAAAACATGTTTCCAGGTAAAGGCTTAGAGTGTCAATAAGTAAATATAATATAATTACTTTAATGGCTACTCAAATTTTTAAAACCCTGAAGTTGCCAGTTTCTATGACTGTGACACTCTGTTAAGTGGCTGGAGAGGTTATCTTAAAAGAACATCAGCTCTGTGACCAGAAGAGAGAAATGAATAGCAAATGTGAAGGGTATATAAACACTGAACATAAGCTCTCCAGATGATTCTATAAGGTCCTCTTCACCTTACAAAAATCTCATTTAAAAAAATAGAGCAATCAAACCTTCAGCAAATATAAAACTGAAGATTCTTATTTTTATAATCAAGCAAAAAAAGATCATTCTACCTTTTAACGATGACAGATATAGTTGATATTTCTCTCCACCACATCTTATTTTCTGACAAAGTTCAGGCAGTAGTATTTTCCACCATAGAGCCTATCTTAGAAAAAAAAAATACAATTTAGTTTGATGCTTCTCTTATATAGCAAAAAAGGAAGAAAGGAAGGAAAACAAGTACTAACATCTAAGACTCTTCTAATTTCTAAACTAAAGACAATATGGCACAGAAAATATTTTTCCATCATGTATTTCCCAAATCTTCAGGTAATCACCTACTTTATCTCCAAAAGAGATTTTTAATATGATAACATATCACTACCATACATTTTAATAGCATTTAACTACACTCAAAACACATAACACATTAAACATACATTTTCATTGGCCTCACAAATCCCTGTGAGGTTGAACAAGGCTAAATTGTCCCCATTTTGCAAGAAAGGCAATGAAATTAACAAACCTGATTACCAATGAACAAGACTAAACACATATCTGGAAAGCATACCCGGTTCTCTTCTTTCAGTTCGTGATGAGCATATGGAATAACTGCCTCCGGGCATCTCTCTAATAGTATGTCTATGCACTGTTCATACTCTTTCAAGCGCGTACGACACAGAACATGGACACTGAGGCCAGCAACAGTGTCTTCTGAGAGTGGTTCCAAGAACGGAATAACGGAAGCTATGTCAAATGAAGGACCACATATAAGAGACTATGAATAGAAAAGTGAAATGTTATGGAATGAGGCACCCAAAAAACTAAAACACAACATATAGAATTCACTTTGTAACAAAGACTAAATCTCACTTGTCAAAAAGAAAAAGAAGAATGCAATTTTAGATCACATGCAGATGGTCTTTATAGAATAAGTCTAAGTAGATTGAAGTATTAAATAACCCTGAAGCCATCTCTAGTTTAAAGATCTGTTTAGTAGAAACCAATTATTTAAAAAAATAACGTGATTTTATTTGCTTTGGATGAACTGAAAATGAAAACTAATGGGACATCTTTAGGACTCTATCTGAAGGAAATAAGAACAGATGGGCAAAGATTTATGTCTAATGATGTTCACCACAAGAGTATTCACAATATTGGAAAAGTAGAAGTAATCTAAATGTTCAAAAATAAGGGATGAGCAAAAAAAAATTATGGTACATTCATATGATGAAATACATTACAACCAATAAAACTATGTTGATGAGAAAATGTTCATGATAAAATGAGTTAAAAACTTCATAAAAATTATATTCAGAGCATGACCAGTTTTGTAAAACCCACACAGATATATGCACATGCAGAAATACCTTTGGAAGAGCAATGAAATTTGAAACACAGATTAGCTTACTAGATGAGAGGCCAAAGCTCACTTTTTGTTTCCTTTTCACACTTCCCTATATTGTCCAAATTTTCTATAATAAGCATGCATTACATATACAACCAAAAAATGAAATTTAACATTTAAGAAAACTAAATGATTATTTAGAACTAATCATTTGTACCAATACCACCCTGCCACAAGATGAATGACAGGAAGCAGGTATTATTTCAGTATTCAGAACTATACCAATATTTTATTTCTAAGCAATTAAACTACATATACTACTTTTGATTCTACCACCAAAATAATCTCCATTTTCCCTTTCTCCAGGAAAAAGATGAGATGGTCATGTCTTGATTTTCTTGTCCCTGTATCCTTTTTGCTACAGCATCTTCTCAGACACATGGAGGGATATGGAACGTGGTCTATCCACTCACAGTCAGCGTGATTATTTTATTCCAAATATCTACAAAGGAATGACTAGGAAAATAAGGTTGGTCCCTTTTCTTCCTACCAGTTTAAATTATTCACCTGGATAATTTCCTGACAATAAGATGGCAAAATGAAATAAGGTGATAATTTCCCACTCAAAGGACCTCCCAACATGGAAAAACACATAGATTATTTCTATATTTAGCTCTTGATTAATCAGGATAATGGGTGGGGTAGGAAGGGGCAGAGCAGGGCTACCACACCAGTTGAAATGAAACTAGTCAAAACTTGGTACAAAGTAGATTATCCATGAGCTTTTACTTAGTTTTATCTGCGTCATCAAGAAGTCTACAACTGGGCATGGTGGCTCACACCTGTGATCCCAGCACTTTGGGAAGTGAAGGTGAGAGGACTGATTGTGCCCAGGTGGGCAACTTGGTAAGACCTCGTGTCTCTACAATAAATAAAAAAAAACAAAAAAAAAATTAGCTGGGTGTGGTGGTGCATGCCTATAGTTCCAGTTACTTGGAAGGCTGAAGTGGAAAGATCACCTGAACGCAGCAGTTCGAGGCTGCAGTGGCTGTGAGCGTGTGACTGCACTCCAGCCTGGGCAACAGAGTGAGACTCCGACCCAAAAAAAACCAAACAAACAAAAATCTATCAACCATTCACAATGTATGGGCCTTAATTGGATCCTGGTTCAAATAAAACTGAAAAAAAAAAAAAGTTTAAAAATAAGTAAAATAGCTAAGCAATACTAAACAAACACATAAATCACTGGATAAAAAATGGTCCAAAGGCTATTGCTATTCTTTAAATACTGCTAATGTTGTCTGCTCCTTAGCAGAGTGCTCCTTTTGTAATTTCAATATTGAAAATGGAGTCCTCTCCATCCTCAAAGCAAGCACTATTTATTCCTTTCTTTGATCCAGATCAATCATTCTCAGCCCTGACTCTGCAGGGTTGCAGTCCACAAACTTCTCTGTCTTCCTCACCTAGACAGCTGTGGGTTTAAGGAAAGATGGCTAGCAAGGAGGTGGGAGAAGGGGAACCATGACAATCTTCCCAAAGGGCAGGACATTTATTCATTACTGTGTCATTCCTAGTAGCAGTTTTTTGACCTGTAGATGATTTACATATTGTTTTCATTTTAATTATTGCACAAATATTCTAGTAATTGAGGGCAATAAACAGAATCATATCAAATCTATGTTGGACAGTGGATACAGAAGAGTCATACAATGTTGAAAAAGCTCTCCAGGTAACTCTGAACCTCCCCATTCTTCTAGGTGAAAACCATTCAGATTTTATTCTTTCTCAATGATTATTATTTTCTTAATGACTAAGACTATTTGGCCCACAGAAATCTAAAAAAGAACTGTGTTTAAGGAAAAGATTTATAAAAGTTTAGGCAGACTACGTTTCTCTCTTTTAATAGCAAAGATTCCCAAAATGAATGTACACTTTTAAAATCCTTTGAAATAAATTTTAAAAGCTCACTGAATTATACTTTTTCAAGCAGTGATTTAAACTATGTTTGGGCCAGGTGCAATGACTCATTTCTGTAATCTCAGCATTTAGGGAGGCTGAGGCATGAGGAATGCCTGAGCTCAGGAGTTCAAGACCATCCTGGGCAACATGGTGAGACCTCGTTTCTACAGAAAATTTTAAAAAGTTAGCCTGGTATGGTGGCATGTGCTTGTAGTACTAGCTACTTGGGAGGTTGAGGTGGAAGGATCGCCTAAGCCTAGGAGGTAAAGGCTGCAGTGAGCTGTGATCATACCACTGTAGTCCAGCCCAGGTGACAGAGTGAGACCCCCATTAAAATATGAATATAAACACACACACATACACACACACACACGTCTTGAAGATTTTTCAGGGGAATTTAATAGCACTTACTATAATCATAATTTTAAATATGTAATCAGTTTGTATCTTCTGAGAGGGCAAGGCCCTGCCTGTCTTATTTGATGCTATCACATCCAGGGCACATTCTCAAGCAATAGTCGCAAAAGAAAGAAATCTGAGGCTAGGCCCTCAGAAGCCTCTGCTTCACAAGAGTACTAGACACCAGAGATAAGAATCATCTTTGGTGATTTTTTTAAGAAGCATATAAATAACTCCGTCCCTAGGGACAATATGGTCCTGCCTGGAGGCTGAGTCTAAGCAATACGGCCTCTTGAGCTTCCCCCCAACCCTTATTCCCAATCTGACATTCTGGTTTTGTAAGCTATAACTACACTTACAGCAGTTCCCACAGTGTCAGCAGGCACTGCAAACTCAAAAGTCTAACGGGGCCAAAGAAATGATGAAGACGCATGAAGGCAGTTGGGATAAAGAAAATGGGCACTGAGACACACAGCATCTGGATCAGAATGACACGAGGATGAGAATATTGGAGACAGAACAGCAGGAGCACTGCCCAAGGAGGAGCAGTGGATCAGCCCCAACCCTCAGGCATTGGAAGCAATGAGGGCCTAGGGATACATGCTTGTTGAGTTTTTAAAAGTAACTTCAAACTCAGAACTCTTAATTTTTATATGTTGTTAGTTACACTGGAAAGACCAAACAAAACCAATGAGGGAATTCTATTTGGTCCTTGGACCACTGAACTACATTAAATAAAATCATATGCACATGTAGCTCAGCCTGATTCAAGTCAAATGTGGATTTTATTTCTCATTGCCAGTCAAAACATTGATGCAGTCAGCATTCTTATAGGATGATCTACATTCTCTAATCACTTCCCTCTTATTTATTTTATTTATTTTTTTTGAGTTGGAGTCTCACTGTCGCCCAGACTGGAGTGCAGTGGCTGCTCCCGGCCACCACAGCCTTGATCTGCTGGGCTCCGGCGATCCTTCCTCCTCAGCCTTCCGAGTAGCCGGAATTACAGGCGTGCGCTACCACACCTGGTTAATTTTTTGATTGATTGTAGAGATGAGGTCTCACCTGCCCAGGTGGGTCTCGAACCCGCGGGCTTAGGCAATCCACTCACCTCAGCCTCCCAAAGGCGCGGGATTACAGGCTGAGCCACCGAGCCCGGCCTTCCCTCTTATTTTTAAAAAATTATTTTCAGGAGCTGGACTAACTGACTACCCTGACCTGTCCTTGTAAGACAGATTGTAATGACTGGCTTGGGTTAGAAAACTAAAATGTTTAAGCCAACACACAAAAAAGAATTATATCAATAAAAACACCACTAAACATCTGCCATACTTTCACAAAGTGTGAAACACCAGGTGTTTTAAAGCACATCCTGAAAATGTGATTTAGCGAACTCTTATCTACCAGCCACTCAGCTGCCTAACCCAGCAGTTTCAGATAGAGGCATGATTTCCCTCCAAAACTCCTGAGTATGCCTAACTATGGATTTCGTCCCTCCAAGTTACACATTCTAGACTAACAGGACACCTGAGGTCTTACCAAATTTAAATCTTATATTATACTGGAATATGCAAATTCATAAGAAAAAAAGGCACTTTTATTTACCTGCAATTTTGAAAGGTCGTCTCGATAATTTTTATCAGCTAAGGAATCAGATGATATTAAGACATGAACCCATGGATAGATCAAGCCATAATGACTACAGGCATTTATCTACAACATAAAAGAGTTTATCATAAATAAAATATAACCAAAAAAAACTTGCTTCTTCCATTTCACAAAGAGCAAGTCATCACTAATCCTCTGCCATGTTACAGAACCAGGTACTCTTTCCTGGGACAGGGAAGGAAAGTTTTTTAGAAAATGTTTCAGCTTTGTTGTTTCTGCACTATATAATCTATACTAAATATTTCTTTATATTATAAAATTTAAATATTCCAAAGAGGTACTTTCTAGCAAAAACAAACAAATAACAATGAAAAAAAAACCACCCAATACTGCTTTGAAGCTTTTACTTTAAAAGAGTTTATAATAATATTAATAATTTTCATTTATACTACTTTCTTTGGGAGACAAAATATCCTCTACAAGTTCTCAAGACAATTCCCATGAAGCCCTTCTTATTCAAGAAGCTGGTGACTTTTCCAGTTAATCCGTGTTAGCCATGGCCTCCATGAAAGGCAACTGGGCTGGAAGAAAAGGGAGTCTGAAGGGTAGCAGTTGTTAGGGCTGCCTCAAGTGCTACAGAGCGGCTCTTGTGTGCAGCTGATGGGAAATGGGCTGAGTAAGGAACTCTTCCTCCAAGTTTTCTGCAGTTCCTCTCTCACCAGGGAGGTCTGTAGAGGTCTCTTCTCTTGTTCTCAGCGGTTCTCCGCTGAGAAAGTACAGACATAGTAACATTCTAGAAAAAGTCCCTTCCCCCCTCTGCTTTGACTTACTGCAAATAAGTGTGTGACATTAATAAAAGTAGGAGACATTCTTTAGAATAGGAAATTATTTAAAATGTGGGCAGCTTCAGTCATACACAAATGTTAAATGTATTTTTAACTCCTGCCTAAATAAAATATCCGGTATAAGAAAACTAGGTCTAATTTTAAGTCATTAGAAATAAAAAAGTATGTCATTGTTATGGGCAATGTGTGAGTTTAATTTAAGGTATTCTTCCACCATCTTACCAGGTCCTCTGACGTCCGCAATGGTGTAGTGTCCGGAGGCTGCCTCTTAGACAATCTCCTAATGTACTGCGATGTGAGCTTACAGAAGAGCTCCTGAATTACCATGTCCGGGAGACATGCCATGAGTTGAGCTTCCCAGAAATCTACCAGGAGCTGAGGAACCGTACCTTCATCCTTACCACAGAGCACCTTGAAAACAGTGGAAGGAGACTTTATGTTTCAGATAAATATAGCACTGAAAAAGTTACAGTGGGGCTGAATTCCACACTATCATGTGGGTAAATAATAACTTACCAGCTGGGCACAGTGGCTCATGCTTGTAATTCCATCACTTTGGGAGGTGGAGGTGGAGGATTGCCTGAGTCCAGGGGTTTGAAACCAGCCTGGGCAACTTGGTGAGACCTCATCTTTATAATAAATCAAGTCAGCCAGGTGTGGTGGTACGCACCTGTGGTTCCAGCTACTTGGAAGGCTGAGGCAAAAGGATCACCCGAGCCCAGCATGTGGAGGCTGCAGTGGCTGTGAATGTGCGCACTGCACTCCAGTCAGTGTGATAGAGTGAGACTTCCACTCAAAAAATAACAAAAAAAAATAAAAATAATAATAATTATTTACCAAGCAATTGCACCATGGCAAAAGCAAACTTAGACATTTTTAACAGGACATAGATTCTAGTTGTATGAACAGTTTATCCACCTGTATTCTTTTAACTTGTACTTTTATCTTATAAAATGATTATGTATCTGCTTTTTCAAAAAAATAAATGAAAAACTCACTTCTCTTATTCTGCTCCTCCATTTCCACCAATTTTATCAGGTCATCCAGAAAAACTACATCTTCTTTTTCTGAAAACAAAGACCTTAAAAATATTTTTTCATTTATTTATTTGTTTATCTGGTTTTAGAGATATTTGTTTATTTGTTTAAGGTCTCACTATGTTGCCCAGGCTGGTCTTGAACTCCTGGGCTCAAGCATTCTTCTCACCTCAGCCTTCCAAAGTGCTGGAATTACAGGCATGAGTTATTGAACTTGGCCAAAACTACATTTTCAAAGTGACAAACCTTGAAGAAGGAATCTGCTTCTTCAATTCCAATTTTATCATTCTTCTGCAAGCCCAGGACTGAAGCCACAAGCAATCCAGGCTGAGTCTCCTTCAAGTGAATTGCAAGCTCAGTTGGAACAATCTGTCCCTTCTCCCGTTGAATCAATAGCCGAGGTTCCAGAATGAAGCCACATACCAACTTCATCTTCAGATAAAAATGAAATTTAGAAACAAAATATATGTTATTATATATATATGTTGTTTTTGTTTAGAAACAAAAAACAATGTTGTCCACCTGGGAAATATAGAATTTGCTAGTACACTCATGATTAATAATTTAATATATTAATAATTTGCTTTTATTATAATTTTTAACTAGAAAGACTATATTTTACCTGAATAAGGACATCATTAACTGTCTTACAGAAGTTATTAATATTTAACTAGATATAAAGACATCCTATTTTTGTACAGAGCTTTATATGGAGGTCTACTTGATCTGAAAATACAATCAATCCTCTGTATCCATGGCTTCTGCATTCACGGATTCAACCAACTGCAAATAAAAAATATTCAGGAAAAAAAAAAACCCTGTATCTGTACTGAACATGTACAGACTTTTCCCCTGTCACTCCCCAAATAACATAGCATAACAAGCACTTACATTGTATTAGGTATAAGTAATCTAGAGATGACTAAAGTATATGGGAGAATACGCATAGTTATCTGCCAATACTATGCTATTTTACATAAGGGACTTGAGCTTCTGTGGATTTTGGTATCTGCAGAAGGTCCTGGAACTAATTCCTCACAGATACTGAGCAATGACTATAATATATCTTATGTTTTTTTCAAAATTGTGGAAAGAAAATTCATTTTCTCACAATTCTGCTCTTTAAAACAGAAGACACCCTGATGCTGACTTGCTTTCCTCATTATAACAAAACACGTCATTGTACAGCGATAAAGCATTTATCCTCTTCTAGTTATATTGTGGGCATCTGGCCATAGTCAGGCAACAAAAACAAAAGTGCAGGAGCACAGTTTTTGAAGTCCTGCTGTCCGGTTCAATTCTGGCTCTACCATTCACCAGCTATGGGATCCTGAGAAGTTATTTAGCTTCTCTGTGTCTGAGTGCCCTCATCTATATAAGCATCTATCTTGTACATTACTGTAAGAAGACAAGGGGTTTAGAACAGGCCTGGGATATAATGAATGTTCAATTACCATTCTCTTATTTTCTTTCCCTAAATTATCAACACATATTTGGTCATGGCTCTAAATGGACATGACCATTTCCAAGGGAAAGACCTCTCTTTGACACACCATTCAAATGCCCAATCCTCCAAAAAGTCATCTGCGATTTTCCTAAGGAGGGGCTATTTCTACAACTACTAGACTCTTAATGCCCATGGTTTATATCCCGCCTGCTGTCCTTAAATACACATCATTCTGTTCTTTTGGACACTCACAGTCTTTGGATACCCACTGCTACCATTTATCAGTCTTATTTCTTTTTCATTTGCTAGATCCAAAGTCTCACTTGGATCACTTTCCTTCTACTACTAATTCTGTTTTCTATTAAGACTAAGAAAATATGAGCTAGAAAGAAGCCAGAAGAAAGCTAAACACCTCAGGACTATTGGGTTCTGTTTCAGCCTGTTGTTAACACCAGGCAGGGCACCATACCTCTGAATGGCTTTTCATTTCATTTCTGTGCATGTCAAGATCTCCCATTTTTAAAGCCACTGCTGCTTTGGTCAATGTCACTAACACTGATGAAAACCCAGAGTTATCCAGTTTTCTTAGATAGCTCATGGCAGTCACAGGATTAATATTCTTCATAGAAGGACTACAGAGAATATGGGGCAGTTGCTTCGGCTCAGCCACATGAAACATTTGAACCACTTTTGCTGCTAATTCCTTTGGTGAGAACAAACAAGGAATAAAAGGTCAGCCAGCCAGAAGAAAGCAACAAAATCAGCAAAACACAGATGTAAAAAAAAAAAAAAAATACACACACACACACACACACACACACACAGAGAGACCCCCCAAAAACTGGAATTATCTTTTGGAAGGTGGGTCCCTTGTAGTACAGGCTTCCCCCATTAGGTAAGTGTTCTAGGAACACATTGGCATCAGTGTACCAGCTAGAGGTACTTTGTGGAAGAAAAGAGGCTGCTTTGCGGAAGAAATGTCCCAAGTAGTGGCAAACAGGTGACAGGTTCTTTAACCAGGACAACACACTTGCCCAACCACGTTTTTGTTTTTTGACCAAAAACAGCATAATCCCGTGCCCCACCCTCCCTATTCAACCCATCGGACCCTGAACGACTGCTTTTTGTTTCCTAGGATGAAACAAGTCCTCAAAGGGAAATGTTTTGCTGGTGTGGAAGAGGTGAAACAAAAAAACAGCAGAAGCACTAAAAGTCATCAAAATGATGAGTTCAAAAACTGTTCTGAGTAGGGGAAAAAGTGTTTTGATTGGTGTACTGCATCAGACAGAGAGTACTTTAAAGGTGACTAAAGTTTAAACATATAAGAATACACAATTTTTTAATAAATAAATTTTGGTTTCTGGGGTTTCCCCTCATGTATATACACACACACACACACACACACACACACACATACACACACATCTGGTTTTCTGGGGTTTCCCCTCATGTACACACACACACACACACACACACACACACCTGAGATACAAATATTGCAACTGAGATAAAATTATACTATGTTCTGATTTTAAAATGACAGAATTGATGCTGATACATGGGAGACCTGAGATGCCCTGATCTCTTTGCTGAGTTATAATGAAGAAAAAGCAGTGAAAATAGGTGCCAGATTATGACCAGCATTTCTAATTTTAACAGAAGTTTGGAAGAAAAAAATAAATATTTGATAAAATTACACTTAAAAGTCTGTCAAAAAAACTACAATTTAATTCAAAATACAACCAATGAAGTAATTTACATGAGAAAATTTCATTTCTCTGAAAATCTTAAAAATCATTTGGTACCCCAATTTCCAACTTGGCATATTTGCACTCAGTTATGTTTAAAACACATGAGGGGCCGGGCTTGGAGGCTCACCCTGTAATTCCGCGCTTTGAGAGGCTGAGGTGAGTGGATTGCCTGAGTCTGTGGGTTCAATACCCACCTGGGCAACTTGGCGAGACCTCATCTCTACAATAAATCAAAAAATTAGCCAGGCGTGGTAGCGCGCACCTGTAGTTCCAGGTACTTGGAAGGCTGAGCAGAAGGCTCGCCGGAGCCCAGCAGGTCGAGACTGCGGTGGCCGGGAGCGACCACTGCACTCCAGTCTGGGCGACAGAGTGAGACTCCAACTCAAAAAAAGAAAAAAAAAAACAAAACCACAAGAGGGGCTAAAAACAATCCTTACTAATGTCTTAATGTCACTGGGCCGGGGTATGTAAGAGAAGTTTTGAACACTTGAAGAGAAGGTTGTGGGGAGGACTGCAGATGAGAAGGAAGGCAAGGCCATACTCTGAGTCACTCTTCTAAAGACATGCTTCTGTCCCTGGACAGGTCACTCAACCATGACAGAGCATATCTCCCTGCCTGTATAATGAGAAAGTATGCGATGACTCATGAGTTCTCATCCAAGTTATAATTCTATCCTCATGAATGAAGAAAAGGGTACATTACTTTTTTAGAGAAAGGAGAAATCAAAGAAGAAAAACATTTGGGATTTGACTTCTAAACAGTATTACATAAACTAAAAAGTTAAAAATATTAGATATCACTAAATAGAAAACTATATTCACTTCACTTAATTCTTCATCCAGGTTTTCATAGAGTGAATGATTAATATAAAAGATCAATCCCCTTTCGTATTTCTGTGATCCATCCTCTACTGTCCAGTCCATGCGGGCCAAAACTTCAGCCATGGACAAACCAGACATCTTATAGTACGGCAGGGTGAGGTGGGAATGTTGGGTGTCAAGCCTAAAGGGAAGGAAACAAAAAAATCCAAATGGCATCTTTAAGTCTAGATATCTAACATATTCAATAATAAAATAGCTTTTTACTTTCCAGAAAACATAAATCTCAAAATACTTTTCTACTGCCTTTAACAATTAGAACAAACTCCTGAGTTGTATTTTACAGCATCATTTTAATG